GGGAGGGTGCGGCGGCCCCGGCGGGCGTTCGGGAGGCCGCGGCGGGCGTTTGGGAGGGCGTGGCAGCCGCGGCGGGCGTTCGGGAGGCCGCGGCGGGCGTTTGGGAGGGCGCGGCGGCCGCGGCGGGCGTTCGGGAGGCCGCGGCGGCGCGGTCGGTAGGCGGCATTCGCTCCATAAGACGCACAGACATTTTCCCCCATCTTTTTTGGGGGAAAAAGTGCGTCTTATAGAGCGAAAAATACGGTAGTTCTATCATTTATGGTTTTCATCACATTCAAACATTCAATCATGCTTTTAGATGGTATTTACTCCTTTTCTTTATGCTTAAACCAGGTATTCAAAGCAAACCTTTTTTAAAGTAGATATTCCAAGATATTTCTAAATGGCTCAATCACTTCTTCTATACTTTCATTTGTCATCCATTCATTCACATCACCTAATAGAATATTTTTCCTGTTGATTGCATTAACTCAGTATTGCACATTTTTTCACAATTTTTTCCTCTAAATCTTCAATTAAAACCATTTATGGGAGCAAAACATGCATCAACCCACAATCATTCATTTGATACTCTTTGGCATATCTTTTCATAATTCATAATTCTTCCTACATCTCTACTTTCCTGTCTGTATTCAGTATCACTCCACAAAATTAACTATCTTCCATTCAGATCTATTGTACCCTTCCCTTTTTGTTCCACAAACCCACAATGTATCAATTTTTTAATTTTATTTTATGAATTAAGTCATGTTTCTCCACTATTCCAGGTTGTAATCTTCCACATGCCATAAGGCAGGGGTCCCCAACCTGTGGCCTGCAGCCCACTACCGGGCCGTGGCCTACTGGCCACCGGGCCATGGAACAGGCTGGCCAGTGCGTGCACATGTGTGAGTGCACTCACCCCCACTCGCGCTAGCACTGTTGCCACATGGCAAAAACAGCACCACACGGCAAAAACGGGACAGTGCTCCCGCACAGCAAAAATGGGGCAGTGCTAGCAAGTGTCACGCGGGCGCTAGCACTGCTCCATTTGCATCGCGGGTGCTCACAGCTTCGTTTGTGTGCGGGTGCATGTAAAATGCTTCCACCACCTTTTCCCTTCGGTCCGCCAAACGAGAAAGGTTGGAGACCTCTGGCTTAAGGGGTTAAAAATACTGACTTTTCCTACCATCATAACTTTGATCAACTAAAGTTTTCTCGTAATGCTTTTTTAAAAAGATAGAGAAGACAGGGTTAGACATGCAGCATTCCCCACTAACAGTAAGGACGGTCCCAGCGACCTTTAACATATTTTAGTTAGTAAATCACAAGCACATCTAAAGCCCAGTTTTACTCCAAGAAAGTTCTAGCTATTTTAAAGAAGACACAGGATAACTGTACTGGCAGAGTCAACAAAATGAAGAAATGTGACACTTCATTTTTTTCAAGGTCAAGTTGTTGCCATTTGCTGTGGCAAACATATTTACCCCAGGGCATTTTGGGAGTGGGGGAATGTTGTTGAAGAGCATGAGTCAGAATCTAGTTAATCCATTTGTTGCCTTTGTCGTTCTTCTCAGGTCATTCATTGTCGATGTGCCAGTTTTGGAACGTAGGGAAGGAACCTAGAATAGCTGGAAAAATCTAAACCGCTCTAATTATTTGCAACGGTATGATATTGAACTACTAAACTAGTTCAAACCGTTCATCTCAATGCTGGCGCGCCTCTAGGGTAATGACCTATAGCTACAGTACTTAAATGTTACTAAATTTTTTAGTTACTGGCTATCGCATAAATTCATGGAGTTACAAGATATGGTCACCGGAATACATAAAAGATGTTGAGATCCTAGAAAGAGTGCAAAGAAGAGCAACAAAGATGAGGCTAAACCATATGAGAGAACTTGGTATGCCTAGTTCAGGGGTGAGGAACCTTGGCTCTTTTATGACGTGGACTTCAACTCCCAGAATTCCTGAGCCAGCATGGGAGTTGAAGTCCACAAGTCATAAAAGAGCCAGGGTTCCCCATCCCTGGACTAGTCTAACGAAAAGAAGGATTGGGGGTGATATGATAGCAGTATTGTAATATTTGAGGGGCTATCACAGAGAAGAGGGTGTCAACTTATTCTCCAAACACCTGAGGTCAGGACAAGATGTAGAGGTAGTCCTCAACTTACGACCAGAATTGAGCCCCAAAGTTCTGTTGTTAAGTCAGACATTTCTTAAGTGAATTTTGCCCCATTGTACAACATTTCGTGCCACAGTTATTAAGGGAATCGCTGCAGTTAATAAGTTAGTAACCCAATTGTTAAGTGAATCTGGCTTGCCTATTTGGTTGTCGCAAAAGGTGATCATCTGACCTCGGGACGCTGCAATGGTCATATGTACCATCTGAATTTTGATCACATGAGCTTGGGGACGCTGCAAAGGTTGTAACTGTGACAATTGATCATAAGTCACTTTTTTTCAGTGCCGTTGTAACATTGAACGGTCACTAAATGAACTGTTGTAAGTCAAGGTTGACCTGCAATGGGTGGAAGATAATTAAAGAGAGATCTAATCTAGAACTAAGGAGAAATTTCCTAATAATGAGAACAATTCATCAGGGGAATGGCTTACCTCTAAAAGTTGTAGGTGCTCTATCATTGGAGGTTTTCAAGAAGAGACTAGGTAGCCATTTGACCAGATTGGCATAGTTCTCCAGCTTGAATTGGTCTTAACTAGAAGTTCTCCAAGTCCCCTCCACCCTTGTTATTCTATGTTCTAATCATAACCTATTCCGTGCAGGTTCCATCACAGCATATCTGATGCATGCTCAACCTATTTTTGATGGCCCCCAGGGAAGGAGAACTCACCACTGAATCTACTTCCTTGTAATTATAGTTCTGGTCTTGCCCTCGGGAATAGAACATTAGTCCACTCCCTCTTCAATATGCTAATTCTTAAGATATTTGAAGACTGCTATCATTTCATCTTTCAGTCACCTCTGCTATAGAGTAAAGATGCCCAGGTCTTTTAACATCCTCATTTATATCTTGGTAATCCATTTTTCAACTCACTCCAGTTTCTCACAGACTTTTTGAAACAAGGGTGCACTGAACTAGCGTGCTCAAATCAGGGCAGAATGGAACAGAACAATTACTTCCTGTGATTTAGACTCCTGTAAATGTAACTCAAGGTATTGTTAACCCTTTCAGCAACTGTATCCCTCTTCTAGTTCATATATTGCTTGTGGTTAACAAGTATATCCAAATCCTTTTCTATTAAATACCAAACCAAGCCTTGCTGAACTTACACTTGTGCCTTATATTTTTCCTGTCTAGATGCTGTTAAGTTCCATTCTGTTCATTTCAGCCCATAGCTCAAGTCAGCCTGGAACGCTTTACAACTTCTCATAAGTATTAGCCAGACTTCCCAGCTTTGTGTCAATTGCAGACTTGCTAAGCATCCATCAATCCTACGATTCAAATCATTGATAAAGATGCCGAATAGCAGAGGATCCACAATTTGGAGTCCTGGAGACCCCATTCAGTACTTCAGTCCAAGCCAAAAATAGAGCTAATAAGGAGCATTTTGGGTGTCTCATTCAGCAGATTGTGAATCAATCTATCATACATTACCATATTATTATGGAGAATATTATTAGAATCCTTTATAGTAAGCAAAAGAGTCTCACGTGCCATAACTATCTGCCAAATGGACATGCTGGTTCAGGATGGACTTCAAATAAATAATTAAAAAGCAGCTGACAAGAGTTTGGATGAGTAACTTAAAATCTCAATAACTTACTTAACTGCTCTATGCAGTGGCCTCTCGGGGGAAATGATGAGCATCTTATTAACTGAGTCATTTAAAGTTAGATTGGACAACGCACTGGAAAAACTGCTGTGGTAATAGCAACTTTAGCTCTTGGGTTGGTACATTTGTAGCTTCAAGATATTAAATAAACATTAGCTCATTGTCCTTGTCTGAAAGGGTGAGTAAATATTATTTATTATGATAACTTTATTGTCTTGTTTTTATAAAAAGGGGGAAAAGTGGGTTATGTAGCTAGCTCTTCATTGTTCCAGTCCACAAAGAAATACAAAAGCAGCAGCCAAACTTTTTAATGGTTTTCCAGCTTGTTTATTAGATTAACTGCCTGTTCAGAGGATCCCAAGGAATAGGAATGTGAAGATCATTTATATGATTGAGCCCACAATC